GGGGGGCACTTGTGAGCTGGCACAGCAGGACAGCAGCAGTAAGCACACGCACTCCCTCTCTCCACTCCTGAGGGGCTCACTCTTCTCTGCATGCCTCCAGGGGCACCATTACAGTGGTGTCCGCAAACACAGTACCTGAGACTGGAGAGGCATGAGGACCAACAGTGCTGGGCGGAACAAAACATGTGCAGTAAATAAGGACCATGTTATTCGCCCACCCCCGGCAGCCTCCGGCCTCTGCTCTCCCAATCACCATCCAGATCCCATGTGTGTGTGTGTGTGTGTGTGTGTGTGTGTGTACGGAGAATACGATCTTTAAGATCCTTTTGAAAAGGCAGATGACTGAAAAAGAGACTCCACACAGACCATGACGAACAGGAGGGAGGCCTCACCGTCCCGTGTCGAGACACCCTAGTGGGTGGACACTGTCTTGGCAGCAGAAGAATGGAATGACCTTGATACCAAAGCCCGACGGAAACTTCACCAGAGAAGCACACGACAGGGGCGCTCCCTCCGGAGCCTGGCAAACGAATCCCAAACCAACCCGCGCACTGCCATCGAGTCGATGCTGGCCACAGCCACCCCAGAGGACACAACAGAACTGCCCCTGTGGTCACTGAGGCCAGAACGCTGGGGTCCTTCTTTCCCCCAGGAGGGAGGGGCTTGCAGCTGCTGCCTTGAGTTAGCAGCCTAACGCTTTACCACTCGGCCACGAGGGCTCGCGCTCCATCTCTAGCTGACGTAGCTAGTCACATGCGCGCGTGCATATACATATACTTTGGGGGCCACCATAGGATGTTGGGTATAAGGGACTCCCAGAAAAAGAAATCTGACTTGGGAGAAGTCCAGCCACAATGCCCCTTAGCAGCGAGCATGGTGAGACTTGGTCACCTTTAGTTTGGACATATCCTCAGGAGGGACCAGCCTCTTCTCCAGAACATCAAGCTTGGGAACAGAACCCACTGCCACTGGGTCGGCTCAGTGTCCACTCACAGAGACCCTGCAGGACAGAGAGGGACAGCTCCGCGGCCCGAGGCTGTCAGTCTCTGTGGAAACAGCTGCCTCCTCCTCCTCCTCCTCTTCCTCCTTGCATTTAATTCTCTAGTTCTTCCTGTCTATTGCATTGTTTGCTCACTGTCCTCCTCCTCCTCCTCCTCCTCCTCCTGCGGGGCAGCTCTAAACTGCTAGCTTCATGCTCCGCAGGTCCAGTGCTTAACCCACAACTCCACCAGGATGCCCTCAAGTCGAGGTCAGTAGAAAAGAGGAAGATCATCCCCTGGTTAGGACCCAGTGGCCACTGGGAGGATGGCGGGGCCCTCGCAGGGTTTCCCTGTGTACGGAGCCCAGGGCGCCTGGCGAATGGGAGCCAGCTGGAGATGCCGCTTAAAACCAAGCTCAGGAAAGATGTAATGACCTTCGATAGAAGTCCCTCTGTACAGTGGTTTTGCAAAATATTTGCAAATCATCCATCCGATTTTAAAAACCTGGTATGCTGAATATAAAATGCTCCATGATATACAGCCCAATTAAGAAAACGAGTCAAAGATTTGAATAGGTATTTCACTGAAGAACATACAGGTGGAGAGGAAGCCCATCAAAAACAGGATCACTGCCCTTGGCTGTGAAACACCACCGCCCCTGGCCTGGTGGCAACACCCACTCCTACACCCTTTAGGGAAATGCAGACCAAGGTCACAGTGGGAACCTGGTCCTCCAAAGGCCGCCATTCTAATGGACAGGGCCAAGGGGTGTTGGCTGACCCCTCAGACACCATTGGTGGAATGCAAAACCAGGCAGCCCCTCTGCCAAGCGGGCAGGCAGTTTCCTCAAAAGTTCAAAGGAAGTTTTTCACAGGACCCAGCAATCCCACTCCTCCATAATCATTCAAGAGGAAAAGAAAACATCTCCGTACAAAGAATTTCCTGGCAAATGTTCCCAGCACTGCAACTCACAACAGCCCTCATGGAAACCACCCAAGAGAACACCAGGGATCTTGTGTCCGCCTGGAGGACACAGCGCTGCAGCCGCCCTGGCCCACTGGTGGCACCCGGGGGGCAGGGGCCTCGAAACGCAGTCCCCATTGCCTACCCCGCAGCCAGCTGGCTCTGTGACAGGTTTCAAAGGAAACCCGGGAGGCAGAGCTCAGAATCTGGGTGGTCTGAGGCAGGGGTAGGGACAGGGGCCCACTGACATGTGTGGGGCACACTGGACCTTCCTGAAGTGACAAATCACTCCACTTCTGGGTGCTGGGACGTGGGCACGACTTTGAAAATTTACTAGAAATCATGATGGTCCACTGTGAATGAGTA